GTGCCAAACCCTTTAACATTTTATCCTAGCAGCAACAGGCCCTTAAGTAAATATCTAAGAACTAATGAGAGCATGTGTGGTACAATTACAATGTTGACAAGGAAAGCCAAACACGTAAGTTTAGACTTTACAATCCCTGTTATGATGTTTACTCCATATCATCTTTTTCTTAGAACTACACAGTTATTTGATTTTCCACCCCGGAGATATGTAGGCAATCCTTTTTGGATTCAATCACATTCCCTTATCAATCATTCCTATTTTGATTATGTATAAAAGAAGTTTTGATTTTCCAACATCTATTCTTTCTTTTCTTTTTTGGTGGTGCTAGGAATACCTTACTCATCCCAAACAAACACATAAACTTTGCATGAACGCAAGTCTAAAAATTCAAAGAAACATTGTCAAATAAATCTCTCTTAGCCCAGTCCATCATGAATAGTTAGCCGTAATAAGCACAATTACGATTGGTAGGCTACGGGCACATACGCACCCTTACCCGAAAGTCCAATGCAGTATCCGACTCTTGAAAATTTTATACAACTAGAAAAATTGGGGTTATAAAATTCAAACCTAAGCTCTACGCCATTTGAGGGAATAGTCAAAAGGGTGATTTGGAAATCATCCAAAGGTGGCTTTGAACTCCAACCCCAAGTACGACTACTTCTATCCTGGACCAACATACTAAGTCAAGTATGTTCTTTAACATCATATGTTAGCAAAACCGAAGGGGCCACCAGACTAGCCAATCCCCAAGAGGAATTTTATTCCAGTGGAAGAACTACTCACCTAATTCCACCAAGCAAGAGTGTTAACAGCTGATAGAAACGTGGGAATCCAGAATCAACAACCTTGCAAATTACGCATTGAAGCGTGAAAAGAGTCAAACACATCATCTATGGTAGGAAAAGAAGGCAGGTGGGCGTGCACAAGAAGGAAACCAAGATTCTAGAAGAATGATACCATTGATATGATCCAAATCCTCAGTCCTTCGTCAACCTACAAGTAGCACAATAGGATAGAGAAGAAAGGGAAAAGAAGGACAAGGAGGCAGAGTAATTGAATTGTTTTTGTATTAATATTCTTTCTGTAAAAATTGTTTTGCCTTACAAACCACAGAGCTAGTGCTCTTGTACAAAATGAGTGACTACTGTCAACTGGCTTTATAACAGACTTTAATGAAAAACAGAATTAAGCCTAATAATCCCAACATTAAAACCCTTAATAGTGATTAAGCTAATTACTAGTTACCTAATAATCCCAACGTTAAAACCCTTTATAGTGATTAAGCTAATTACTAGTTACCTAATAATCCCAACGTTAAAACCCTTTATAGTGATTAAGCTAATCACTAGTTACAGATCATATCACAATCTGTATAATCAGCAGGAATAATTCCCTAAATTGGACTAATAGCAACAAATTGGACTAGAACAGCCATCGATCCTTGAAGACAAAGTGATATCGCGTTGCCTAGATATCCTAAGCCATACCACTTTACTTTTGCTTGCATCCATTCTGCACTCATAGGCCTCGTTTGGCACATCGGATAGTATTAATAATACAAAGCGGGTGTTTGGTGAGCTTCATATGAAATAAGCACCAGACTATTTATACTCCTCACACCCAGTTATTTATCCCGTCTAAAACCTATGTATTATTAGTCCGGTGGATCCTCTCGCTCACTTTGTCCCTCACGCAGCAGCGCACTCCTTCCACTTTCGCATCTCCTACTCGCTCTCTCGTCTGGATAGCTGCAGGTTAGTCTTTATCGTCTTCTTCTTTTTCTCTCTTTGTTCCTCCCTTCTCCTTTACACACACACACACCTCCCACCTCCTCTGTCTCTCCCTCTCTCTATCACTCTCTCTCTCTCTCCCCTGTTACAATCGTACAATAGTTGTTGTAGTAATAGGAACCCTTTTTAAATGTTCATCTGTCCTTTAAATTAATACATGAAATTTTGGAAGTAAGGTATTTGTTGTATTGATTTGGTAGGTTTTATGTTCTGGTTGTGGGTGTGCTCCTACTCAATTGTTTGACAATTGTCCGGGTTAGTTCACCTTTGATCTCTGACAAGAACAATTTTAAACAAACTTTCCATGGGTTGAAGAAGGAAGAAATGATTCAGATTCTTTCGATCTGGGCTCCGACGAGGATAGGAATATCAATTTACACCTGGGCTCTGCCGAGGAAGGGAGCTTGACTTTCTCCGATTATGGTTGATTTCTGCACATCAACGAGAAAGACGAAGACGAGGAAGACAATCTGGGCTTCAACCATTAAAAATATTTATTTTTGGGATTTTTGTATTTGGTTGATCTATGTGTGGATTTTACAAGGATTCTAAAAGTTGAATTTTTCCATAAATTTTTGTAATTTTTTTGGAATCCTGCTTAAATTCATATGTATATTGCTGAAACTGTATTCAAGAAATGCTCTATACCAAACACAGTATAAATAATATGGTCTTAGTCCGATATTGCACCAAACGTCCGACTAATTAGTCAGTATTATCCGATGGATATTTATCCTACCAATTGAAATAGTCAGTACAGTCCAATCTGCCAAACGAGGCCATAGAGTCTTGGCACCATCAGGATAACTTTGAAATTTTTAGGTCTCGACAGGCCGAGGGTCTCACTCCACCAACATCGATACTGTCTCCAATCTCCACCAATACCGTCTTCAACTTGATAATTACCACATGCTCATGGTAATTACCACCTGTCCAATTTATAAGATGTGGTGCTTTATCACAAAAAAAATCTCGTGTTACTTAAAGTGGAGCAATCCTAGTTAAATTGTTTTTTTTTTCTTTTCCTGGCCAATGTGGGATTCAACAAGAATCCTGTTAGGTAGGGCTAGTTCGATATGGGATACCGACTCTTGTCCCAATTCCCAAACCGAAGTTTTTCAGGAATCCCAATTTCAAGACCGATCCCAAACCAAATTTTCGGGAATCCCGAAATAGTTTCGGGACAAATCGGGAATCCCGAAATAGTTTTGGGCTCATGCGTCAAAACAATCGCAACAACATAGAAACTTCGTTTACAGCTAAACAGTGTAGCTAAAGTAGCAAATGCACACATGAATTCAAAGAAAGTTTCGGCAAAACATTCTGCTATTACAACATTCATAGAAAAATAAAGAAAACTATCCTCCCCCAAAATGGCAAGAAACCTAACTCATTGGCCTAAATTCTCTCATGCCTGTAAAGAAAGAGAGGGGACTGTAAAAAACATAGAATTCAAATATGGATGGTTTCTTGCTAATAAAACAAATCTAATCCACCATGTTGTATGAAGGCTTCGTGGTTAAAAATTCCAAAAATTAATACCGTGAACTGATAAAAAAAATGAATTTATTTAAACTTGCCTAGCTAGCAATGTTGTTGGAAACACAAATTGTAGTTGCTGTCATTAAAGTACAAACTATTGAAGAAGAGCGCTAGATTCAATGAAGATTGCAAAACACAAACCCTTATGTAAAAAGCTTTATGAAACAATAACAGCCTGTTTGTTACTCTACTTGAATCCAACTTTTTAAACTCAAAAATAATTTTCAAGTTTTAACCTTAAAAACTTGTTTGGTATGACTATTTTCAAAAACTGAACTCAAGACTAACTCAAAAATATAATCTATTCTCTAAAAACATAAAAAGTGATTTTTTAGAGTTTTTAAATTTAAACTCACTCATTTCTTTTCTCTTCCTCCTCCCTTCTCACTCCAAATCTATTTCTCTCTCCTCTGTTTTTTACCTTTTTTGTCTCTCCTCCAATCCGCTCTCTTCATTCTCTCGGTTCTTTCTCTCACTCCACTTCCTCTCTATCTCGTCCGACCCTCTCTCTTCTTTCTCTTTCCTTCAATCATCCCTTACTTTCTTTCCTCCTCTCTCCCCCTTCACCCTCTCCTGCGACCCCTTCTTTTTAGATCTCTTTGTCTAGTTTAAGTTGTAAGATTTAAAAATTTTAAATCGCAAACCAATCAAGTTTTTGAGTCTTAAAGAAAATTGTTTTCAAGAAATGTTCTTTAGAAATGTTTTGAGAAATGATAAAAAATTTCAAATAGGATACCAAACAGGCCTTAAACATTTGCACTTTTTCTCTTCGACTACAAGGCTTGATAACATGCAAGTCCCTATTTCACAGAAAGAGTTCGAGGAGGAGGTGAAGGAGCTCGGGTCTACTAGCTTTGAGGAGAAAATAAACGAATTATAAAAGAACCATATGATTAAAAACCCCAAATTTCAAACGAATTGAAGCCACAAATAGACTTTACGACATCAAGATGACCAGATGAAGACAAGAATATTACCTTAATGAAGAGAGAAGTATAAGGAAGCAGAGGTGGTTGTATTGATTATCGAATGCAGAGGAAGTTGTCAAATGCAAAAAGAAAATGGAAGGCTAGAGTTTGGATATAGCATGAAGGTAAGGGTGAGAGAGTGAAAGAGTGGAGGTCGAGAAAGAGAGAGATAGAGAGAGATTTGTGGGTCTGAACTGAAAGGAATATAGGAGTAAGGAGGGAAGGAAGTGAAGGTGAGGTGAGGTCAGAGAGTTTGGCGGAAAGCTCAAAGAGTAAAGGGGAAGGTGAGGTTGGGTTTCATTTGGAATGAACATCTAAGACTAATTCTCAACCAATCCAACGACTTATAATATCTAAAACTATAAATATGTTAACTTCAGTTCGGTTTGGGAATACCGAAAAAATAAGATTGTGAAACCAATTCTCATACCGAAAAGGATGGGATCGGTACCAAAATTTTCAAGATTTTTGGTTCGGTTTCGGGATTTTTTCAGTACGGTTTGGGATTTTCGGTATTTTTTTCCACCCCTACTATTAGGTCGTAGGATTCGTATTTGCGTTCTCTCCTATCTCGCGCGTGGGGCACATTCATTTTTTCCCAAGAGTGTCAAATCAATTGAAAGCAATAATCAGGAACTGCTTGCGCATGCATCCCCATTCAAAAGTAATTCAAATTTTACTTTTTTTATTCTACATTATAATATCCGTATATAGGCCAACGTATAACTTCACATGAAAGGAAAATTCACATATTCATCCGAGCTATAAATAATTAAGCAAACTAGTTCTATATATATAGCCGCGCTCTTAATAGTGGATACTGTTGTTGGGGCATAAATATGGTGATCCTGGTAGAAAGGGGTTGGGGCAATCAATGAAATGTGCTCTATTTTTATCGCTGCAAAGAGTGATCTCAACCAATTCAGTCACCCTAGTCTTCTTTTGGCACTTCAATTTTGGTAACTTATTGTTGGTACCGTTGCGTATGGCATTTTCAATGTCCACCAGCGCTCTGCTTTTCCCGTCCGGTTCAATCTTTGCATTTGAGAGGATTCGAGAGACGTTTTGTTTCTCGGTTATGTACATTTTGATTACTGTTTCAAAGTAATCATTCTCGTTCTGTATTGTGGGATACCCACAGGCGCCATGTTTTTTCCACTGTCTACTCCAGAAGCCTGTATGATTGGTTCGATCGAGCACGTTCGGCCAAATAATTTCCAACTGGGGTTCGAGTTTTTTTGCTCTCTGACAATAGAATATGTACCATTTAAAAAATTTATGATTAAAATTTAAATTAATTGGTATTAAGAAAAATTATACACACACTCGCGCGCACACACAAGTATATAAATGAAATAAACAATATTGACTATCCGATTACTAATAATATTACCTTCCGAGGATTCCTTATCTTGCAATATTCTGGGTCGCCTCCTATTTTGTTTGAAGGCCACAAACCGTGAACCGTAAACAACTTGTCAGTAGGATCCTTACAAGGAGTAGGATTAGAGTTGCAGGCAGCCGGCTGATATTGCTGCGTAAATTGAAAATAATCGAATCCCACCGTGGACGAAGACAATATTGATACAAGTAATGAAAATACCATCGTAACCATGTATATCATCCCCGTAATCCCCATTGAATAATATTTGTTCAGGAGCGAGGCAAATTAATTACTAATTTGATGCATTTGAAGTAGCAGTGGTGGTTGTGTGGATCAATTGGAGATCAAATAAGCTCTTGTATTTATAGTACTAGACAACTAGTTGTAGGCATATGCGTATATGCATGCATAAATAAGTGATCAAATAGCTCTAATTGATCATCCATGATCACGTGTATTTGATTACGTATTCAATAAATTTATAGCAAATTTTGCTCCTTCAACATTTCTATTCAAACTAGTCATGTGCAATGCCCTTAGTTGACCATCTTGATCACATGTATTTGATCATATGTTGTGCCTGTCTAGGTGGATGGGCTAAAGCGACTATTCGTTCCCTAAATTCCCCATGGGCGTTGCGGTTAGGTTGGCAATTTACTCGAACAAAAAAATTAGAGATTGTGGGCATGTCACTACAAGTTAATGCTAATAGACGGGATTTGAGTAATGAAAATTGCGCGTAATTGATTTCTAACCAAAACGATTGTGCCATTGAGTAAGAGTGGCTCAACTTATGTTCTTTCTTTGCCTTAATAATAAGTACTTTACTTATGCAGAGAAATAACTCACAATATGTAAATGGTGAATTAAAGTTCGACACTAGAAGCTCAAGCTTTGATTGAAAAAGAAAGAGAAATGGCTTGTATTTTGTATTGAGATGACCACAACGATTCAAAGAGAAATTGTACTGAAATACAAGTAACTATTGCAAGAGAAATATTTAAAGAGGAATACTCGTAAAAACAACAAAGCTATAATGAATACCCTCCTAGTATGAATACTAAAGCCACTTAACACAAGAAAGAGATTGAATGAAAAGCCATCACTACTACAATATTAGGTTTAGGTGGCGGATGATGGTGGCAGATATTAGAAAAATCCTATCGATTACATCCGACTTATAGTCCTGGCGGATATTTATTGGCGGATATAAAATAAATCATGTCGATTATAACCGAAAATATTTTTTAATCCTTTTTTTAAATATTTTTTACATATTCTGACGGTTTTTAAGTTAATGGTGGCATTTATAACTGACAGAAATTGACTATTTATTATTTTACTCTTTGGTGGTTATTATTTTAGTATTTTGGCGGTTATAACCGATAGAAAGGAAAATTTTATTATTTAAAAATGTTATATGGATTATAAATAAATAAATAAACACTTATTTTAAATTTTTTTTTTTTGTCACTCATGACCCTAAAGTCTAATGAACCCATTTCCCATGAGCCATAAATTTTCTGAGAGAATAATAACAACAGACTACAATCTGAAGCTCTATCATTTTTGTAATAAGGATTATGCTCCCTCATAGGTAAGCAACAAGATACAAAGAAATTCAAACAATTTTTTTCAATGCGTCACAAAGCACATTGTCTGGCACATAAACACACATGAACATCTGGTGTACTCAATCATGTCTGATTTTATTATTTTAAAATGTTATATTGATTATAAATAAATAAATAAACACATGTTTTAAATTTTTTTTTTCACTCATGGCCCTATCAGATATAACCGACACGAACAAAGCAAAATTTTGGATGGCCACCAGAATAATCTCTGAATATTTTTTTTTTTGTGATTTTTTACACATGCTATCTCGGAGTATATACAAACATATTTGATGGTTGGATTGTTGAAACTAGTTTCGTAGAATGCCTATCAAATTGATAGATTTAACAAACACTTAAGAGTTAATGTTATACTTCCATTAAGTATAAAATAAGATTTATCCACTAGTGTAAATATTTTAAATTGAAGATCGAATTCATTCATTGCACTCTTATAGGGTCGAGGAGTGTAGCTGTAAAAAATCATCAAAATTAGAGCTAAGGTAACCGTTAAATTGTGATTTTTCGTTAATAACCATCGAAAACTTTTGTTCCGTTACTTAATCTCTGAATGTTTGTTTTTTGCGATTTTTACGTATGCGATCTCGGAGTGTGTAGAAACAAGTTTGATGGTTGGATCATTGAAAAACGTTTCATAGAATGCGTATCGTATCAAAACGATACATTAAACAAACACTTAGAGTTAATGTTATACTTCCCTATCAAGTATAAAATAAGATTTTGTGGTATCCAATGGTGTAAATATTTTAAATTGAAGGTCAAATTCATTCAATGCATTCTTATAGGGTCAAGGAGTGTAACTGTAAAAAAACATCAAAATCGGAGCTAAAGTAACCGTTAAGTTGTGATTTTTTGTTTATAACCATCGAAACTGTTGCCTAATCTCTGAATGTTTGTTTTTTGTGATCTTTTACGTATGCGATCTCGGAGTGTGTACAAACAAGTTTGACGGTTAGATCATTGAAAAAAGTTTCATAGAATGTGTACTGCGTCAAAACGGTAGATTAAATAAACACTTAAGAGTTAATGCTATACTTCCATTAAGTATAAAATAAGATTTTGTGGTATCCACTAGTGTGAATATGTTAAATTGAAATCAAATTTATTCATTGCAATCTTATAGGGTCGAGGAGTATAGCTGTAAAAAATCATTAAAATCAGAGCTAAAATAGCCTTTAACTTGTGATTTTTCGTTTATAACCGTCAAAAACTTTTGTTCCGGTACCTAATCTCTGAAAGTTTATTTTTTACAATTTTTTACGTATGCAATCTCGAAGTGTGTACAAATAAGTTTGACGGTTGGATCGTTGAAAAAAGTTACGTAAAATGTATATCGCGTCAAAATAGTTGATTAAACAAACACTTGGAGTTAATATTATATTTCCACTAAGTATAAAATAAGATTTTGTGGTATCTACTAGTGTAAATATTTTAAATTGAAGATCGAATTCATTCATTGCATTCTTATAGGATCGAGGAGTGTAGCTATAAAAAAATCATTGATAGGAGCATATTCATGCGACTTAATTAGCTTGTTCTCGTGCATTTATGTTGTGTTTACTTATCTATTTCAGTGTTTAAGGTCACTTTTGTGTATTTTCAGATTATAAGGCCAAAGTGTGCAAGAAGATGCAAATTGGAGCCTTTTGGAGCGAAAGAGGAATGAATGAGTTGAAGACGTGAAGAAACGACGAATTCCTACGCCAACGATGAATTCTTACCAAAACGAGGAATCCTACTCAAACAAGGTTTCCTATTTTAGGAAAGTTAACCCTAAGTTTCCCGTTTTGGTAACCTTTCCTAATCTAAACGTCCGTATTTTCTAGCCACTTTGAAGACCTTGTAGGTACTTTAGGACACAAAACGAAGACCCTAGGCTCCTTATCCATCCTTGCCGTGCCCTTTTATTTTCTTCCCTTCCCTTGCCGTGCAAGGGAGGGCAATTTTGTCTTAGGGTTGCACTTAAAACACATGCTTTTAAACCCTAGTTCTACACCCTTCTAGCCGCACCATCTCCTAATTCCTCCATAATTCTAATCAGCCACCATCCCATTATCACAAACAGCCACACCTTTTCCCTTCCACCAAATACCTTAAACAAACATCCATTAACACCCATTCTCTTCCTATAAATACCCATTCATTCCATTCACCAAATCATCTCATTTTCCATTGCAATACACAAACACTTCCCCTTCCATTTCTGTGCAGTTTTTCTCCTCCATTGCAGCCACTATCCAACCACTTCCCATCCCTCAAAAACACTTCATACCATCACACAACCTATCCTTAAACCTTGTGCTACAACAACGAGGAAGAGAAGAGTGCCTAAACGTTCATACAATTCAAGTTTGAGTTGTTGGAATGTTTAGGTGTTTCTTTGATTTCAAAGTTTCATTTTAATTCTCTTTGTTTTGTACGTATAAGGAATGGAAGAGAAGAGTGCTTAAACGTTCATACAATTCAAGTTTTGAGTTGTTGGAATGTTTAGGTGTTTCTTTGATTTCAAAGTTATGAGGAACTAAACCCCCTTTAGCTAGGGGGTGATTCGAAACTATGTTTATATTTGCAATATGAATTGATTAACTTTCGTTGGAATTTCATAAGTTGTGGATTCAATTTGTTTAACCGTTTGATTGATAACTCATTTATGAATGTTTATTAAGAATGCGCGCTTAATTTTCATGCATAAATATGACGCTAGAATATAAGTGAATTTCACCTAATCGTTATGAACTTATATTCACAAGTAGTGGAGGTTGCTTATAAACAATCGCGTTAAATGAATTCTTGGCATGAGTTTCATGCTCATCATAGTAACGAATGTCTCGTCAACACTTATAGTTTTCATAATGCTTAATGATCTTTGATTGTATCTTTATTGTGCTGTTCATGTAAAGGACTTTTGGAGAATGTTGTGAATTGCTTTGCGCAAACCCATCCAATTCATTAACCTAAGGAAAACTTGACGGTTAATTTAAGCGGACCTAATTAATCCGGAGTGTTGAGTTTCATAATTTATCGAAAGACCAACTAAGAATCAATCTTGTATGCAAGTATAACATGTGTGGAGAAGAACCCCTTAGCTAGCCTTCATTCCATTCATTCCATCACAAATTCATATTTACATTCCGCTTAGTTTATTAACTTGTTTTGTTATTTCAATTTTCGTCAAATCAAAACTTTTCCCCCCCCTTTACTTTCTTGTTCTTTAGTGCTTAGAATCTGTTTAGTTTATGTTTTAAAGTATTTTGAATCAAGCCATAATCTTAAATTCGTCCAAAATTAGTTTTGAGTCTATTGGTTTGTCTTAATGTTTTAAATTTTAGTTTTGCATTCTTTGAGTCTAGTTTAGTGTTTTATATTGTTTTTACGTTCTTAAGTCAATTTAGAAGGTTTTAGCAAGCCCTCCTAATCCCCGGTCTAGAAAGATCCCTCACTTATCCATTCTACTACAATTGTCAAACGAGGGTTTAATTTGAGTGTCAAGTAATTCTCGCATCAAATTTTGGCGCCGTTGCCGGGGATTAGCAACTTTGCTAATCCTTTGTCTTTATTTTTATTTTATTTATTTTTTTTGTTTTTCGTGCATTCTTATTTCAGATTCTTAGTTTGTTTGTCTTCTTGTT